AAGTAAATAAAGTGGCACCAACTTCCATGCACTTAATGAAGTTCTGAAAAAATCTTACGTTTCTGTTAAAATATTGATAGCAATAGCCTCTCAATTAGAAATGGGTGTAATCCAGTCCGTTGGAGCAGTAATCATTGGGTACAAGAAATTAACACGAATAGAGCCACCTTGACGAAGACATAATCAATCGCGAAAATTTATCCCAACTGATAATTAGTTCCACGTTTTCTGTCTTTATTAATAATTGATGGGAAAACAACTTCAAGATTAATGAATGCTTTAGATGTACTCCTTCCTTGTTCATTCAAAAGAGTGGAAATAGTGCTTAAGTTTTACAACTCATTTAAACTTCTGGGAAATTGAGTAAACTGTCAAAGTATACGCAAGCCTCTTAGGAGTCGCGACTCACAATTTCAGCTCTTTGTAACTTTCATGCAGATTTCTGAAGCAGTTAACTTTCGAACTCATGTTTCACTTAAGTAAATAAAGTTCCAGTTGCATTGATGTGGGATTAAAATGTGACAGGTAGTTGGAAGTTGGCGATGGTATTTGCTCCTTCAAGAACTTCGATAGCTCTTCCACAAATTAACCAAGTGAACGTATATTTACATTTTTTTCTGTTAAAAGAGTCTTCATCAATCACACTTTATAGTTTATTTTGCAGGCAACATAATTCACATGAAAAACAATTGTTTGGGTTAGGTCTCACATTAGTATTAATAAGATGCAAAGAAAACGGAATATAATTGCTTTTAATGATTTCAACTCTTCAGAAAATATACAGATTGGGATCACATTACTTTACATCCATGTGGGTCATTTTTTCCAGTTCGAGCGAGACTTTTTATAGTTATATCCAAATATGCAATATTATTTTGTTGAATTATCCTATGTAAGAGTAATGTGGACAAATAATTTAACGAATTGGAAGTATCAATTATGTATTAGGCACAAATTCATAATGATTTATTCAAGTGAATGTTTCAACACTCAATTCAACGTTCATTTCCGATCAGCAATACTGGAAATAATTACCAATATTGCGTGTTGACGTGATTATAATTTAATGTGTCTTAACTTCTCCATTTGATTGCAATTTCGATAATACATTAAATCATAATATTTTATCTTGTAAAAGTTAAATGCATTATTCAACAAGTGTTCATTTTCAGGGCATTTGGTTCACATTCATATGAATCAAGCTTAGCAAGAAAGCGCTTACTCATCAAAGCGGATGTTATTTTAATAGTCATGGAAAAGATGGTTCATTACGTAATTTTTAACTTTGGAAATTTGAAATATTTTCTTCTAAACCGAAAGTAAACATGGACTCGTAGGTTTTAGCGTTTCCATTTCCTCGTTCAAACCTCTTTCTTTTAACAGTTGATCATTTTAGTTAGCATTGTCAGTTAATAAGATTCGTAATCTGAAAATCAATATTTCCAGAAAGCATTTGATATAATGAGCGCAACATTGTACATCAGTGAGTGACACTTTGGTTTGTCATCAATTTGTAATGCTTTCTTCAGTTCTATGGTTTTCTGTATTAGACTAGTTTTTGTTTTAGATGTCTTGGCCTTTTTCTGTAGGCTCTGAAGAATCTATCCCTGGGAATGCGCAGTAGCTTTTAATCTGAAGCATTTATTAGGTCTTTGTATAACGCTTGCATTTGCTTTTAATAAACAAAAAGTAGTTGATAAGATGATTTTATTCACATGGCATTTCATGATTTTTAACCATTACAACTTAACTGCATAAAATTTTGCCAAATACTTCTAAAAATAAAGTGTCACTTTCAATGTTTATTAATATCAAGTGGCAGGCGTTTTTGATAGTTATCAATAGCCCTTTGGTTGACTTCAAGCTTCACAGAGGGGAAGGAACATCAAAGTGAAAAAAGTCGAGAGGAGGGGGGGGGGGAGGAACAAAGAGTGTTTCAGAGACAGATACAGAGGTAGAAAAAAGGTGAGGTGAGTACTCTGGAAGTAGTCGGATATGGCATACAGTGGCGGGGGGGGGGGGGGGGGGGNGGGGGTGGTCGTTTGAAGTCAGAAGTCAACTGCCGTTTACTAGAATTTATTTTGCCGAATTAGTATACGTTGCCCAGGGTGCACCACGAGGAGGTAAGTCTATCGCACACTCCTCACTTTCAATGTAAGATATTCAAGAATTATTACTTCCGCCTTCAAAAAGCAAACATCATTCAATTGTGTTCTCTCAAGGTAAATGATGAGCCCTCTATTTTTAATTCAAATTTGATCCCTTATAACATAGATTTCGTCAATATAAAATTATCAAATTTTTTAATTGGCTTAAAGAATCACAGTCGAGATTGTAGCGGATTGCTATACTAGTAAAGCCTGACTGACTCAGAAATTTCTGTGGCAGATTTTCCTTCAAGTAGCTAGACTCCCAGAACTAGCTAAGCTACAGCCCAGAAATAGAGAAAACATACGTATACCACGGAACACGCTTATTCCGTAGGGTTATTGTGGGTAAAGTGTGCTTAGTCATGATCAGCTTGGCGGTTTAGGTTAAATAAACAGAGGCTACTGATTGGCCACTATTTGAACGGTCGCTGCGCACAGAGTTGTACGGCGCACCTCCCAATCCTGTCGTGGTGGCATGCGATGACGCGTTAAGCGATGACGTGTCCCACAAGGTCGAATGTCGATTGGTAGGAGATATCCTCTTAGAATTTTAGGTTATAGTAGCAATAAAATTTTAAAAAATATTTGAAACTAAAAGGATGTACATTCGCTAACTGATTATTAAACAGCTAACTCGGAAGAACCTTTATTGCTCAAGAGAAGCCTGATCAGCTATTGATGACATTTAATATGAGTTCATTGGATAATAATAGCCGTTTTGTCGGATAAGCCTCTGCACGAACTGTCGCTCCCTTTAGAATGTTGGATTCCCCGTAAGATTTGTTAGACTAGTCATGTGAAGTCTACATACTTCACATAATTTTACTGAAAATGTGCTAATATTGTATCATAAAACATATTTTGCTTCCCTATTGTCCTTTTGGGAAGTTTAATTTCTGCTTAAGTTACCATATTCTGCCAAGCTTCCTTTCGTTCTTTGTTACATAACTAGATCTTATTAGTTACCAACTAGTCCAATACCTTAAGAGAACTCAACTGAGGCAGGACCAAGGTACATGTCCTCTCTAGACGCCATTTAAACTAATTTAATAACGTTAATGAATGCGATTAATACAATTTTCAATAATAAAATGGATATCAATTTTCCTGGCTAAAAATATTGATGTTTGTCCAACACATTGTCACAGTGATTGAACACTCGATGAATCAATGTTTGACATAACGTCTCAAGTAACAATCGAAAAAATGTCTGCACTCATTCTCGTTGTTTCTGAATTCCAACGAGAGTGAAGTAGACGTGTTTAGGCTAATCTTCGTTGGAACTATTTCCACTTTTTTGGATGTGGCAGCATCCCGAGATCAGTGCTTTATCCTGAAACAGGGTTTCATGCGGATTTACAAACGGCAGTAGCCAAGGGAAGCTACATGTACTGTAGTTCGATAGCCGAAAAAGACAAGAATTTTAGAAATTCTTCCAATTCAATGAAGTCTGGTATGATACCACAGAAATTTAGTTATATACCATATAACTAGATAGTGTCGAAAATGTAGTAAACCTCATTGTTTTGTTAGAATGAATTTGTTCTATCATGTCTTATACCGGTAGTGCTGATTGAAAAGCAAGTTGGTCAAGACAGATCCGTTACAGTTGCCTTTCAGTCGTGCAGACAACCTGAATGGACAAGCGTTAAGGGATTTTGATTGGCGTTTGTGAGACTCGATCAAAAAGTGGGATCATTGTCTTGGCTATAGTATGGTAACCGACGGTGGTGTCACTTATAAGTGGTTTCAAAAGTTTAAGTCATTTGAATCAATTAGGGCCAATTAAATCGGAATGAAAATCAGCTGCCGATACAGTTGTAATTGCCATTTTCACAGACATTCTGGGTAGATGACGGAATCAGAAGGGATACTTAACCTTATTGTTTTAGTTAGCCATTAATTTATTTGCGTAAGTAATCAAGCCTATTCCTGGTTTCAGTATTTAAGTTAACTATGAGAAATTTGTTATTTTAACTTCAATTCTATTGGAACTGATAAGAAATCTTGGTATTGTTGGATGGTTTGAGAGCTCTAGAAGGGGTACGATTGATTTTTGCCTCTATGAAAGACACGAGTTGTGAAAATATATCATGACAATATTGTTTGACAGTGTAATTTGCTTTTCTATTAGCATATCTTCATTCTTCTCTATTTCAGCAAGATAAGGGAAATGCTACAAAACAAATAAAATCTATAGTTACTAGACTATAATTTTTTCAAATGACAATATCTTAACGATGCTTCAGATAAGGCGTTAATCAGTGTCCAAACTGCAAAATTAGTAAAACTAGCAAAAAAGCAATCAATGCTCATGGCTTCGAGCTAGCATTTTTGAGGCCTTACATGGTGTTGCAAAGTAATTCTATAATATTCGAAAGCATGTGAGGGAGGCAGAAATAGAAAATAAAGTGCTGTTTTAATTATTAAGTGTGACCTCTCAAAGTGTGCCATTTCAGTCAAATTATGAAGAAAACTACTTAAATGACAAAATTATGCTGATGAAATTATTCATACCTTAAAATTTAATTGATTTCATGTGCACTTTCAATGCAGACTCATAGTAACTTACAAAAAAATAAAGATATAAAATCCATAATACAAATATAGCGTGATAAATATATAATAAACCACTGGCAAACAAATAACTTTAAATAAAAATGTTATATATCATTACATAATAGTAATTAGCGTTTACTCTGAAGAATTCTTCCAACATTTATTTCCAACAAAGTGTTTAGTTAAATCATTCATTTACTACAGAGAGGCGCGTGTCATATAAATACGTTAATGCTAATTCCGACCTCGTTTTGAAGGTCTTAGTTGACTTGGGGTTATCGGATTATTAAAATGGAACTCTTTACGGGAAAAAGCTCAGCAAAATACTTTTGGATCACACTAACTGTGGCTAAACTTATACTTTTGTGGAAATGGGACATGGCTTTACTTGTTGGTTTCTCCATGTACTTGATATCTGGTGGATGGCGTTATGCTCGCGCGTGTATTGTTACTCTTCCTCGCGATCTTATGTGAGTTTTGGTCTTTTTCCTCACATTTCGTATTAGCTGAAAACTTTGATATGTTTTTTTCTAATCATTATTTTAGGGCCTTGTATATTCTTATACGTATATACACATTCCTTTGGTTTGCTCAGTGGCGCAAATTTGGTATAAGAGATATCTTCGCTAGCATAGTTAAGCGAAAGGGTCGTGATACTGTGGCTATCCTTCATGAAGATACCAAATGGACCTTCGGCGAAGTTGACGACTACTCAAACCGAATTGGTAATTTCTTAGTTTCAAAGGGATGCAAACTGCAATCTAGTATTGCCCTTTTCATGGATAGCCAACCCAAATACATTGGAATCTGGTTGGGAGCTGCCAAGGTATGTTTCATATGTTGCCTTATATCAACTGTATCTATTTTATGCCTTGTTGTTTCGGATATACGTATTTTTGACATTGGCACTCTTTCTAGCTTTGCTTTTCTGTATAATATCATAAACTTCACGAATCTAGTCATACGTTCTCTAATTTTAGCTGATATTCTAAGTGCAATCACGAGTGTTGCATTACGTACTTTTTTTGTCACTTAGGTTGGTCTCGCAACTGGTTTGATTAATTCAAATGTCCGACGTGATGCTCTTGTGAGCTGTCTTTCCCAATTGAATCCACAAGTCGTCTTTGTTGGAGCGAGTTTAGTGCCTGCTATAGTAGAAGCTGGATTAGTCCCCGAAGGTTCTCTTCCTGAAGGTCACGATGTGGTCATTTTTCCACCAGCTTGCAATGCAAAGACTCTTTGGGGATCGGAAATTGTTGCTGCCCAAATCACCCATGCCAAATTGTCAGAGGTTGCCAGTTCCAGTTCCTCCACCCCTCCCCCCGTCATGAAAGAGCCAAAAATTACCGATACTCTTATATACGTGTTCACTAGCGGAACAACCGGTCTTCCTAAGGTTACCACTTGATACCTTTTTTCATAGTACTTTAATTCCTCTCTTGAATTATTTCCTAAATCTACTTTTTTTGCTCTGGTACAGGCAGCTATTATAACTTTCACCCGGTACGTTTTCATGTCGACCGCAATTCACTACCTCTGTCGAATTCGACGGGATGATGTGCTTTACATTCCTCTTCCCATCTACCATACGGCAGGTGGCATTGTTGGTGTTGGTCAAATGCTTTGCTGTGGTGTTAGAATTGCCCTTCGAACTCGATTCTCTGCTTCGAAGTTTTGGTCCGATTGCATCAAATTTGATGCCACCGTATGTTTATTTTCTTACGCTTTCCATTTCCCCTTTTTCGTTTGTTGCCTTCTCACCTAATTTCTCTATATTTATTGCCATTGATGGAGCTTAGTCATTTATGAATTTATAAGAGTAGAGTTAACATATAATGCCACCCATTTCATAATTGTTGAGTGTCTATTTTCATTGCACTTAAATTTTTTTGTCAAAATAGGTGATTCAGTATGTAGGAGAAACACTGCGCTATCTTCTTTTACAACCAGAGAGATCAGAAGATACTCAACATAAGGTTCGCCTAGCTATTGGAAATGGTGTTCGGCGTGACATTTGGGTTGACTTCGTGAAGAGATTCAATCTTGAACAAATTGGCGAGTTCTACGGTGCCACAGAGTCCAATTCAAATCTGTGTAATACTCAAAACCGGATTGGTTCTCTTGGCTTCTCTTCTGTCATTTTACCCTGGGCCTACCCTGTACTTCTTGTCAAAACTGATCCAGAAACTGGAGAAGTACTTCGCGATCCAAAAACTGGTCTCTGCCAATTATGTGATTATGGCGAAGTCGGCCAACTTGTAGGCCTTATCAAGCGATCAAGCCCCATCCGAAACTTTGAAGGTTACATCAATCAAAAAGAAACTTGTCGTAAAGTTATCTCCAATGTAAAATGCTTTGGTGATCAATACTTCCTTTCAGGTAAGCCGACTTGAAATTAATGTACTCCCGATTTCACTCTTTAGAGGCATTCAGTTATCAACCGGTTTCTTCCTTGTAGGTGATCTCTTGGTTCAAGATGAGTTTGGCTACTTCTACTTTATTGATCGTCTCGGTGATACCTTCCGTTGGCGTGGTGAAAATGTCTCAACAACTGAGGTTGAAAACCTGGTTGCCAAGACCCTGAATTTTGCTGACTGTGCAGTTTATGGTGTTAAGGTGTCGGGTAATGAAGGTCGGGCCGGTATGCTTGCCTTAGCTCTCAATAATAAAGATGGCTTGGAGAGTGGAAAACATATAGTCAGTCAGGAGGCACGTGAAGCTGAAATTTTGCAACATTTGGCTGATGCGTTTGGCAAACAGTTGCCTCAGTATGCCCGTCCACTCTTTGTCCGATTTATGAAGGCACTTGATACTACAGGCTAGTTTTCAAATATGTTCAACATGCTGTTTACCTGTCCTAGGTAGTATTTAAAAGTCATTCATTTTCTCTTCTAGACACTTTTAAATTCAAGAAGGTGAGCATGATGAAGCTCGGTTTTGACATTACGGCAACCAACGACCACATCTATTACCTAAATGTAAAGTCTAATACATACCATCCCTTGGATATGGAGACGTATAGCAATATCTTGGCTAACAAAGTGAGATTCTAGGAAGTCCTGGTACCCTATTTCTGTATAGACGGCTCATTGGGCCTAAATGATTTGATGAAGTGTTATGCCCTTTCCTTTCTATTTTCTGTCTCTATACGGCCTCTCTTCCACAAGGCACTCATCTGCTTAGACAAGATTGTGTATAAAATGTCATTATCGTTTACTCCTCTCCCCCGTTTTCTCCCAACGTTCTTACATCCAAATGCATCTGTATTAAATCTAATATGCGAACCATTGCCAAGTTGGTAACAGCCAAAACTTTCGACTATTTTCTTTGTATTTTTATCTGTAGTTCTATAATAACATGTACGAAAATTTTGGTGTTTTGTTTTTCGTTTAACTGTTGTCTCCGTCGGTTGCACTTTTATGAATATTTTGTATCTTTATCGGAAATGGGGTCATCTCAGGGCCCTAGCGTTTGTTAGCTGACTGAAATTGTCTTAACTTTAAGTGTTGTTCAAATTTGTTGATTGTTTTAATTTGGTTAAGTAGCTACAGGCCTTAACTCGCTTGGGGGAGCTATAGCAAATACGTTCGTCTTGTTGGTCTTTGGATTCAGAGTTTATCTTACCTGTCAAGTTAATGCCAAGTTGCTTCCATGAATGCGATTAGACAATAATCTGGGATAAATTTCGTTTTTATCTAAAAATTAAAGTTAGTTTGGTTAATCTTCACAGGTATGCTAGATGTTGACTTCATTTCAAACCTAGCCAAGTGGTGCAATTGCCTCTGTAATTCGAGTGGTAATATGACTACTGATTTTGAAGCCTGTAATATTAGCGGCTATGTGTTTGGCCTTGGCAACTATTATTTGGCGATTTTGATGCCAATGCCGAATCAATAAGCCATGCCTGGGAAAGGCAAACGAAGACAGGCAGGATGGGTATTATGGCTATTGTAAATTTTAAGTCAACTGAAGATGTTGAAATCCTCCAATTGCAGCTACCAACATATCACCCAAGTTAAGGGAAGCCCAATGGTGATACGTTTACTCAAACAGAAATTTAGCGGTTCGCCTTATGGCAATTGATTAAGTGTAAAATTGAGAGATGGGATAGCAGTGTGTACGAAAACGAAACTCTTATCATATTTAACCATCGGCAAGTATTATCTTCGATGCTTACTAAACATCAATACCACAACAACTTTTAAGCTGTCAGTACATTATAGAAAACAAGAAACAATTCCATTTGCCTTTCTTTGGTCATTTCCCACCCCTCCCAGCTTATTTATTTATTTATTTCAAGTGACAGGCTTTATGATGGCTATCGTTAGCTCTTTAGTTGATTTCAGGCTTCACAGAGGAGAGAAAAATCAGAGGTGGAGAAAAAGAGTGATTCACAGATGTAAAAGAGACAAGCACAAAGACAGGAAAAGGTAAGGGGAGTATTGTGGAAGCGGTCGTGCACGAAATACAGTCTGATCGTGGTAGATTGAAGTCAGAAGTTAACTGCCGGTTTATAGACTTTTTTGCCATATGAATAAACGTTGTCAATGCGGCACCACGTGGAGGTAAGCCAATCGCACTGCCCAAACCCGTCCCCCTTTCCACCCCATATGTTAACTCGCTAAATAAATTATGCCAAGGTTTCTCAAGTTGCTTACCTGTAATTTTTCCCAGGCGATAGAAGCACAATTGAAAGTTGAGCTACCGACATACCACGACATATCTAACCCCTGGTCTGAATAATATCTCTACAGTTTACGTTATCACACACTTTGTGGTGCCAATATTGAGGGCATAAAATCTCAACTGATATTTTAACAAATACATGTTAGTAAACAAAAACCAAGACATTTTTATTGATTTCACCGCTTTTACCCACGAGCGGCAAATTTGATAACTTGCGTTAAATGTTGAATAAAGCAGTTATAATTACAAATTCGTAATCATGCACTTGTGTCCGAGACCCATATTGAAAACTGTTCCTCTCACTGTGTTCGATAATGAGTGACTGAACAGGGCAACATACCACTTATTCTAAACCCGAAGCTTCGCTTTGACAAAGCTCTAAAGCCAGTTTAAATATAATTCACATGGGTTTTTGTTTTATCCCCATTATCTTTAAAGTGATTATAATACCGGTTATTGGGCATAGCAGCGACGGTTCAAAGTCTACTTTTTTTAATCCAAGATGCCTTTCCATCCTTGTGAGGAAAAAAATGAAATCACTACGACAACTTCTAGTTAGGCTAATGATTTCAGCAAAATATCATGACCGAATTACACCCTTTTACCTATCATTGCATATGATTGAATCTCCTAATGCTAACACGAATGACCTCAACACTAAATACCCAAACATTGAATTTGTTCCACACAGTTATGGTCCAGGTTAGGGTTATCAGCTGTCTGTTTGGCAGTCTTAACAGGCTGTATACAAACAGAAATGGGGATATTTATGGCGTACCCTGGAACTACATTTAAGATTTGGCCCAAAATACAGGAGAACGAAAACACTTAGGCTGGTGCAATCTATAACAATTAACTTATTTCTATTGACATATAAAGCAAGAAGTGAACTACTTCACCTCAATGAGGTCGAGTATTCTAAATGCACGGCCTCATACCCCAACATTCAACATTCTATAAATTATATCAATCCACCCGCCGGAAGGCACTTTCAAAGTCAGTTTAACAATTTGAGAGTGATGATAGCACTAATTGCTGGTGTTCTGGGTCTCAAGGTCTTACCGTATAATAAAATCCCCTTAAAGACATAGTCGATTTAAATATGGATGGACTTCCCCTACCACTATCAATGCAAATAACGCAATATTACCAGAAAATGATCTGGTAATGACGTGTTCTTTCTGTGGCTCAACAGATAAGATAACACTGGATTTTCAGTCTTCTCACTATACGATTTCCATCTGTACACTTCACAAATGTGTCTCCTTAAGACGCGATCAATTTTTTTCAATAAAAGTAAATTGTTTATCTAATATTCGAATGATTTCTTGTGTACGAAGGGAAAATAGGGAATAGTTGGAGGCATAATAAGACTCAAGCAAATTTTGGCAACGTAATAAACCCTAGTTAAGGGCTTGTTTGTAACCACATATGCAAAAACACGGTAAAATGCTGGATCATCGGCCCTCAAACAAAGCAAATTGAGGGTAAAACAGTGCAATTCTAGTCCAAAGAGTAAAATCGATACGAAATGGCTCAGAGAGAAAGTTGCAATCGATGTAGGGGAGGACACGACACATATTCGATTACGCTGAGGCATTTGGTTTAGGCAAACGCAGAAATATGATGAATTTGCCTGATTTTCTGATTAGTCCTTTAAAAAACACGTGTAAAACTCGTGACTTTGGCAATCATTGGAGTCATTACTTCTCACTTACAATATGGAATTTTAAGCCACGATGATAATCAATGATCATATGTTAAGTCTAGCATGGGTGTAATGCCTTTTAAATACTCATTGAGAAAAATTTAGTTTGAAAAGGATGCGATAAGAATGCTCATATCAAATTGTAGAAAAGTTTATTTGTAATGCCGTAAGGCCTTGAGAAAACTCACAGTCACATACTAAGAGGCTGACTGTGGTTTCTAATGAGAATACAGCGTGATATCTCTCGAGGGTGTTGAGAATATGAATGCAATTTGATTGAGTGATGTGATTTATGAAAAAGTGTCTATGACAAACTCTTCAAAAAAATTTGGGGTATAAAATTTAGGCAAAAAGCTACTCCGTTGGTCTGTGAAAACATCCATCTAAAAATTTTGTTATGAAAGATAAATTCCATCAATAAGGCCAATAGAATAAATAAAGTGAAATCTAATTATCTGATGATGACAAACATTTTCGAACGAAAAAGTGAAATTCAATCTCTTTTAATCCAACGCAAAAACCCATAACTGCTTTTAATTAAAATAACTACATCCTCGTCAGTCCACTTCTTCTTTGGACTTAAAGAAGAGGAAAACGAATCAAGATGACAGGACTTTGCAGGATAAAATTATTTACCTAATGAGACATCGAATGAGCCATTTCTGTGATGGGGGGGGGGAGGAATATAAATAGGGGTTTATTGTGAAAATGTTAAAGTAAGGACAGAAAGGTTATATAAAAAAATAAGCGATATCAAAGAGTAAATGGCCAAGAGTAACCAGTCGTCTTGCCACGGTAGATACTTACTAACTGTGGTTGAGTGTACCCCAAGTCCAAGATTTTTATTGGTCCATTGGGAGCTCATATTGATTTGCTGGTCACCTGATCGGCTCCCAGCAGCTACGTCGTTAGCGGTTTAGCCATCGATTAAAATGGTAGAGAATTCAAATAGGGCGAAGTAACTTTTCTTACGCATTATCACTAAGTCTAATGGCTGCTCCACATAATTAAATGGCTTCTTAAAGTTAAGATAATCAAATTAGTTGCTGTTTTAATATGTGCTATGGCCATTGGAACTTGTTTACCCATTGGCTAGAAATCAGTATTGCCTCAGTCAATACCTGTCACTTTACCAAACATGCTATATTCTCAAATAATTGATCTAGCATATATTGTCCCTCATCGGCATTCTATGTCACTTTATCGTACATCACGTATTCCTTTGCAAATATCCGTTGTCCTTGAAACTGTACTATTTTTTGTTTTTCTTTGTTATGGAACGTGACAAGAGCATAAATCATTTTCGGGAAGTAAATGTTATCAGTCATTTCCAAAAAGAAGAATCTAATAAAAAGAATGGGAAAATATATGCAGTGTTTTTTTTGAAATATTGTTCACATGACTGCAAATATTAACTTTACCATAAAACGTGATTCCTTTTTTCTCTACTTACTTAACCAACAATAAACCGTATCTAAACACGGGCTACTTATCAGATTTTTTGGTTCATTTTATTATCAATAAGAAGAATAAAAAAATTATTTTAATGAAAGATATACACGAGTTAGGCTTAAAGCCATAATGACGAGCAAATATTAACTCCCAAGTACTAATTAATTTTATTTGTGGTCCACGTGAGTCGCATCTTGAATGTGACAG